TGCAGAGATAGAAACTAGAGCTCCAGTTGCAGGATGTGAGGTAGAGGAAAGAACGGTCTACAGTAATAGAGTCACTATAGTCATGGTTCCAGGAATGCATAAAGTTGTGAGGTCATTGTGTTTAAGAAGAAAACTACAGAAAGGTGAGGTGTCTTGTGGAATTTCTTGCTAATTTTCTCTGTGTTCTTGAAGAAGGTACCTAATCTTTCTTCATCTATTTCATGTAGAGAAAATAGTCATATGCAAGTGCTGGGTGTGAGGTTATCCATGACTCTTCTGGCAAGAGCACGTTAACCAATGTATGCTGATATATTGGACTGTGCCTGCATGTATTCCTTTAAGGTTGTGGGACATTCACTGTGTTACTTCCTGTTTCTGCACATCAGTAAGATGAAGGGTTTAGAGTAGGGCAGAGGCAGAGAACTGGAAGCTCAGGGTCTGTAAACTGTATAGCTTCAGTAGTGTTGGGTTGTTCAACATTAATATAAAATGTGACTTATTGCTTGTGTTTAAATCTAGAGTTTCCAAATAAAATTTGGGTTTCCATTTTATTTTTTTCCCTCTTCACATCACTCTCCTGTCTATCTGGGGGAGGTGTATGTAGGGGCCAGAGGACAACTTGTAGGAATCAGTTTTCTCCTTCCTCTTTGTAGATAGCAGAAGTTGAACTCATTTGACCAGGCTTGGCTGCAGGTGCCCTTATTGGTTGAGCCATCTCTCTGGCCCTTTATCTTACCTTTAGAAATGAACATTGCTAATTGGAGCTAGGGGTTGAGGGTAGTTCAGTTGGTAAAGTGTTTGCTGTGTAAAAATGAAGATCTGAGTTAAGTCCCCAGCTCCCACATAAAAATTTGGGCATGGTAGGGCATGCTTGTAATCCCAGCACTAGGGAAGCAAAGATTTTTGGAGCCCCATGCCAGACTTAGCCTATTGGCAAACTCCAGACCAGTGAGAGACCCTGTCTCACAAAGCAAGGTAGGCAGTTCCTGTGGAACTACATCCATGATTGATTTCTGGTTTCCACACACGCGCATACTCACCTGCACACGCATACTCACCTGCACACATGTGCACCCTCCATAAACAAGGAGATGCAGATACACACACACAGAGACACAGATACACACACACACATGCACACACACACACACACACACACACACACAGAGTAGATCTTACTGATAAAACCAGTTCCATATTTCTGTAGGAAAAGAGTTATCTGCATGTGTGTGGTAGCTTTGCCTTCACAGCCATTAGTACTCAGTTTCCAATGGTCTCTATATACTTTGTTACCTTTTCTGTTCATGTAGTAATAATTGAGAGCAGCTAATTTATTATTGAATTCTCACTATGTGTTAAGACTTTTTCTAATGTGTGATGATCCAGGGGTCAACCACAGGGATGCAGTACTAACTCACAGGGAATTGCAAATAGTAATTTGTGTTCCCATGAAAAATTAAAATCCAAAGCTGGGTATGATATATCACATATATAATCCTCAAATGCAGGAGCTGAGGCAGGAGGATTCCTATGAGTTTGAAGCCTGCAGAGTGAGTTCTGGGTCAGCCTAGATGAGAGTGAATGGTCTGCCTCAGCAAAACAACTAATTAAAGACAAGAAAGATACAGTATTGAGAGGTATGACAGAAGTATATTATATGATGTATGAGTGAGTCATAGCGAGATTCATAGAAAAAACAAGTTAGAAAGAACAGAGAGTCATATATTTTAGGGAAAGCAGAAGAAAATAGATTTCTTTTTGTAAATTAAAAAAAAAACTACATTCTTAAGAGGCCAGTTGTGGCTGTATGAAAATTACCCTGACTACCTCATCTGCTTTTCTTCACAGATAGAGCTGCCCCTTCCCTTTGTGAAATGTAAATGACAATAAGCTGATCCCGGCACAGGCCACATGGATTTTCTTACCTCTGTGTAGACCATTCTCAGTTCAGCTTTAGAGACCGAGACTTGTTCCCCTGATCCATGAAATGGGCTGTGCTGGAGCACTGCTGTCAGCGCCCTGGCTTCTTCACCTATAAGACATGCAAGGGCCCATGCTGAAGAAGTGGCCGAGGGGTTCCTGCCTCACTTCTGCCTCTCACCTAATAGTTTACATCCCCATTTGGTCCACTGTGAACTGGTAGTAGCTGACAACTTCAGGATGACAAACCTGACTAGGTTTCACTTTTGATCTCATGGCTAACACCTTCCCACTCACAGATAGGCCCTTTTATGGGCAAAGATGCTGAGTAATGTGGTTCTGACTATCCTGGGTGTATAGGAATCCCTTTTGCTTTGCTGTAAGCTTTATCATAATTGTAGGCCTCACAAATTTGTATTGACTTGCGGAGTTGTTTTCAGCCTGGCTGGAGAGGTAGTCTTTTTGCACCACTGCTTCCATCTGGTGGCCGTTATCTTAAACTGCAGCAGCATGACCTGCTTCAAAGAAAGGAGGGACTTGTCCTTCAGTGATGCTAGGTATCACACATTAAAATGCCTTTAAAATATGTCACATTGAAATTCTCGGGGAGGGGAACATTTGTCAACCATCAACTCTTCAAGAAAGAACTGTTTATGAGTCAATGTGTATGTTTGCAAGTCATTTTTTTTTAACTTTGGATCAAGGGCTGTCATTTCTAGTCTTTGGCTGTTCGTGAAATGAAAGGTTATTTAACTTAGTTCCAGTGAAGGAAATGCTCATTTTCTTATTTAATTCAGCAGAGCCATCAGCTTTTGCCTTGTTATATAAAGAGGTATTATGTTTTTTGGCTACGCTAGGTGAAGTGGAAGGAACTAGTTTTTGGACAGTCAGGAGTATGACACCACTCCTGGTTCTGCCCACAGCAGGCTCTAGGACTCCTAAAACATCTCTTGACTTCTTTACCTATAAAGCAGATTCCTTGGGCTTCATGCTTTTTATGGTGATCCTATGCCCAGACTATAGCTAAAAGAAATTATAAAATATTCAAAATATCTGACAAAATAAACATCTTAGTCTATGTATAAAACAATCATTAATATAAATGGAAAGCTTGAAATTTGTGCAGCTACTTTATCCAATTCTAATAAATTGTAAGTTATATCATAGTTTCAATAAATTATTTTTTGGGGGGAAGATAAATGGTGCTACAGTATATTTATGTATATTAGACAAGATTTGATACATATTTCTTGCATTTAATTTTCATTGACGCTCTTAAAAATTATATATTCTAAAAATACGCATCTTGGAATTTTGGAATTGTAGGCTGGGTATGATGATACACATTTAATAATCCTGTCACTTACCAGAGCAGAGACAGGAGAATCAGTTCAAGGCCAGCCAAGGCCACATGAGACCCTGTCTCAAAAAACAAAAGTAATTTAGGAAGAAATGGGGAAGGAGAGGAAGAGAGAGACAAGTTAAAATTTTCATGCTGGGTGTTCTTTTTAATAAAAGTAAGTATTCAGTCGGGCATGATGGTGCTTGCCTTTGATCCTAGAATTTGGGAAGCAGAATCAGGTCTATCTCTGTGAGTTCAAGGCTAGCCTGGTCTATAAATCAAGTTCCAGGACATCTAGGGCTACACAGAGAAATCCTATATTGAAAAACAAACAAAAAAGTAAGTACTTTAAAAAAATCTACATTTAAAATTGATAATGAAATAGTTTAATGTATTGCAAGAAAATAAAATGTATTTTGAATGAAAATGATAGTGGTTGGTAATATAGATTCCATGGGAAGTTCTGGTGCTTATCTAATATTGAAGAATGTGGTGACAGTCAATAGAGAGACCTGAAATCTCTGATAAATTATCATCACAATGTAGGTTTGGAAATGTCTGAGTCCATTAACATATTTTTACAGAATGATGCATCTATTTTCTGAAAATAAGGAATAGTACTTTATGTATAAGGCTTTAGTGGCTGAAGGGAATAGATTCTTACCCAGGTTAGCTTGAATAGTTACTGTAAAGCTAGTAAGTGCTGAGAACACCAGCAGAAAGGCACTGAAGTGCCACTGAGCCTCAGGGCAGTTAAAACATTACAGTGAAACCTGAGGCCTGATTCTCAGAGGCCTAAGATCTCTCTATTGGCTGCTTTTTGGTTTGGTTTCTGTCAGCTTTGCAAATGACTGCTAGCTCAGTACTGTATGACAACCTCAACTCAAGTTCTCATACTGATCAGTTCCCTCTGTGTTTACTTCTATCCAGTTTGTACCAATTCTGTGCAAAGAATAGCTTAGTGATGCTTTTACTACACGGGGTTGATGAATAGGACAGTTGAACTAAGTTATGAAGGTATACAAGGCAGGCAGTTGGGCTTTGTGTTCCAACTGCTGCTTCTTCCAAGACTTTGACCTGTGACTTCTTTGCCACCCTTGTCTATCTGACCCTCAAGGCAGACAGTGCTTTGGGGATTAGCTGTAAGTTAGGAGTTCTAAGATTATGTGGAACTCCTAGAACAAACTAATTTAGCACATTTGAGAATCTCAGTCAAAGTTACATAAATGTCTGTTAATGAATTGTGAGCTGTCTTTGGATAAAGGAAAGTAGGGTGTTGATCAGTGAGTCCTGATGTCCCACTATAGAGCAGCTTATTCACACTGGGTTTTATATCTCAACAGCACATGTAGCGACAGGTGCAGGAGTCTTCATGGCCTCCTGTTACACCTGAGTGAGAGGTGGAGCAAGGAGGAAGAGAAGATTCCTGAAATACAGTGACAACTATTTATGTTTGCAAGCACTAAAAACAATAATACATTTTCTAGCCTCTCTGATAAGAAAGAATGTACTGGGCTTTATTTTTAAAAACTCTTATAGTTTCTTTGGAAGATAGCTGCTGTTCATCCTTGATTCTGACTCTGGCTCTAAGTTCAAGAGTATAAGAATGCTATCAAGGCCAGGCCACTTTGAAGACTGGCTAATAGTGGTGTCCGTGTCATGAGAGGTGACAGCCCCAGCCTGAGTTCCTGACTGACTTGCAATTACTCAAGAGTTTCTCTGTGTGTTCTTCTCACAGGTGGATTTGCTCTTGTCTTTCTGGTGAGAACAAGCAATGGAGTGAAATGTGCCTTGAAACGTATGTTTGTCAACAATGAACATGACCTCCAGGTGTGCAAGAGGGAAATTCAGATCATGGTAAGACGTTTTGGATTATAACTGCTTCTTCTTTTTCTTTATTTAAACCATATATATGCATATATATGATATATGTATAATGGTGTATATTTGATATATATGCATGTGTGTATGTGTGTCTATATATGTAGATATATGTGTGTGTGTGTGTGTGTGTATACACACATCTTTTTGACTTTTTTGAGACAGGGTTTCTCTGTGTAACTCTGGCTGTCTTGGAACTCACTCTATTAGCCAGGTTGGCTTCAAATTCACAGAGATCCATCTGCTTCTGCCTCCCTAGTGCTGGGATTATAGGTACATGTTACCACTGCCCAACTTAAACCTTACGAATTTTTAAAATAGTGTTTTTATTAATTTCATACAATGTGTTTTGGTCATATTCATTTTCTCACCTCAACTCTTCCCAGATCCTCCCCCTCACTCTCTATTTACCCAGCTTATTGTGTTGTCTCTTAAAAACACAGTAAGCCCAGTTTTGTATTGGCCAACTGCTCCTAGTGTGGAGCCTGCCCTGAAGTGTGGTTGATACACCAGGTGTCACACCACTGAAGCCAACTGACTTTTCCTCTTGCAGAAGTAATCAAATCTAATAGCTCCTCCACTAGGGGTGGCTTCATGCCTACCATCTACATCATGCTGGGTTTTTGTCTGGCTTGAGGCTTTGCAGGTCTTGTGCATAATGTTATAACTGATGTGAGTGCATGTGTGCATCTGCCCTGTTGTGGAAAACACTGTTTCCTAGAAATCTGGCTCTTAATTCTTTCTGCTCCCCCTCCCTGTACCGTAAGAGGAGAGGTGTGATACAGGCATCCCATTGAGGGCTGAGCTCCAAAGTTTCTAATTCTTTGTACACTAACAATTGTGAGTCTCTGTTCATCGCCATCTGTTGCAAGAAGCTTTTCTCATGCGTGTTGAGCAATGCGTTGATGTGTGAGTTTAGCAACAAATCATTAGAAGTCAGTTTTATTGCTATGTCTGTTTAATAAAATAATAGTACTGCATTTTACCCTCAGGTCATTTATCTACTGTGGCTGTTTCACAACAGGTATACTATGTTACCTTAGGAAAGTTACTGGGCAGGCCTGCACCCTTTCTTGTGCTGGCAGCAAGCTCTTGTGCAAGGTGGGACCAATAACGAGGGCCTATAGGGCTCTGTTTCTGCTTTGATCATCCTCAAGTGGAGGTTGAGGGGAAAGAAGCTTATTGGGAGAACTGACTAGTTTAACTTGGTAAAGTAGTTTGGGACTTGGGAAAGCATTTATTTAATCTGGAAAACCAAACTCTCTAGGAAGCTTTTCTCTCTTTCTGCTTCCCTCAGTTACCAGCCCCTTGCTCTGGTTGCCAACTCCTCTGAGCCCTTCTGCATCCTGGGAATATTCCCTGACACAACTTGACACTTCTGACAGTTTTTCCAGCTGAAGTGCTTCCTGTGCTTTGCCTACAGTGTCAATATGTCATAGTGCCTTGTGATTCCCTTTATAGAAGCCCACAAATAGGTAGAACTCACTGTGGCATTAGAAGTCAGAAAATAATTATTTGTGTTGGGAAATGGGCCAGAAGATGTATTATTCTGAGTTATGGAAGTCTGTTGTTTTGTGTATGGTCACACAGAAATATATAACTGTCAGAATTCAAACACATTAAGATCTGTTTTTATTTTGTAAATTATACCTTAATTTAAAAAACAAAGAAACTTACTAAAGAAAGATGGCTCAGGACTTCAGAGCATGTACTATTCTTCTAGAGGACCCAAGTTCAATTCCCAGCACCCACAATCACAACTAACTCCAGTGCCTCTGACCTCTCAGAGCACCTGCATGCACTTGCACACAGATACACATGATTAAAAATAATGCACATCTTTAAAGAACATACTAAATTGTATAGATTTTATTTTATATCAGTAGTAAAGAGTCTGTATCAGAAATATATACCAATGTGTTTATGATGATATGGTGAAAACAGTAACTGGATTTAAAACAAAGATTGACCGGGGTTTGATATTCAGAGCAAAGTTACAACTTTGAAAGCTTGTTAGTTGCTATCTTTGACATTACACATAATAAAAGCATTTAAATATGTACATTGTTATTTTTGGTATTTCCACAGTTTTGTTTATACTAATTATATTGCTTTACCTGTTAACATTTTAGGCAGTTCAGCCAACACATTGAGAGTTATTTAAAATCAGAAACTCAATAGTTTCTTAACATGCAGAAAACAGTTCAATAAAAGAGTGAATGCATGTCTGTGTGGTTGCAGAGGTAGATCCAGATGTTCACCTAGAGGTGATGCCTTGGAAAAGAGTAAAATTAAGTTAGGTGTGGCGAGAGTCTAAACTGAAAGTATTAAGAATGACCTAATCCTGTGGAGCCAACCAGCCAACCCCAAGACTCCAGACCACATGGATCTGTCTGCAGTGGGCCTAAGATACTCTGCTTGCCCTGTCTCCTACATATAGGAGTTTCCTGGATATTTCTCATGTCTCCACCTCTCCTCCTCCTTCAGCTCCCCTTCCATCCCTCCCCCTTGCTTGCTCCATGCTTTCTAAGCTGTCCATATTTCATTTCCTCTTTCTTCTGCCCAGAATGCCCTTCCCATTTTTACTTATGTTAGAAAAGCAATCCCATTCTTTCATTTTCTCCCACTCACTCAGAACATGAGGGCTAACTTGGTGCTAGTAGAGAAACCAAGAAGCACATACATTGACAATAGATCCGATTAGGATTTAGTTGTATGGGATCAGTTTTGGACCAGGGATGCATTAACTATGACAGTTGTTTTTGTTTTTTATAGAATTTGTATTTTTTTTCAAAGCTAAGTCAACCAGCTAACAAGAAAACGTCACACAGTTCCACACAATTCTCCTGTTCCATCTCAGATCCTAGAGGTCATTATGGTACTCGCTTCTTTGAATGTACTTCCCAGTCATGCTAGATCTTTGATTTTTACTGCATTTCAGGCATTGTTCCCAAGGGAAATAAGGATTTAGATTTTTTCATCCTGCAGTACAGCCCGCCTCCAAGTGTTAGCTTTGCTCTTATCCTGAATTCACTGGAATACTAACTAGTCAGTTTGGTCAGTGGGTTGGCTGTGGTTGTTGTGGGAGGGAGCTGCTGCTGCTGAATCTGCTGCTGGGCAGCAAGCACTCCACTTTCCCACACAGCCGTTCTCACCAGGACTTGTGTCTGTTCCTCCTTTGTTCTTAGTGTTCTGTGTGGATTTCAGCAGTGTCACCCTGGACTTCCCTTCATTATGCAAGCTGTGTTTTAACTGTGCAGATGTAGCTGTTTGTCTGCTGTAACTCTCAAGAGTTGTCCTGGCTCCCTGACTGGGTGGACCCCAAGCTAGTGATGGATTCCTACCTGTTCTTCTCTGGAGCCTGCTTGTTCTTAGAGAATTCCCTAGGCTCCTTCTCTTTGGCCTCACTTCTCTCAGCTTCCCACTCCTCCTTCTGTTTCACCCCTCCTTCTGCGGAGGTGGTCGGTCACCCAACAGCTTCCTCTTATGAATCCTTAAGAGGCTTTTGGGGTCAAATCGAAGAAGTTTTTGTTTAGCCTTCAATTCCGAAGACTTTCACCTATTTTGTTCTCTAAAATTTTATAGTTTTTCATGTTACATTTAAAGTCCATGAACCATTATATAAGCTGTGAGACTTTTGTTGACATTCTGCTTTTTGCTTATGGATAACAAATTGTTTTAGCATGCCTTCTGAAAAGGCATTCTCTGCTCTGCTGCTTGTGAAATGTCACTGGAAATGGAGTTGTAGCTTAGTAGTAGCATGCTTGTTTGTATACAAGGTCCTGAGTTTGATATCCACTCCACCTGTATTTCTGATGATCTCCACCCATAGAAACTTAAATTGTAGGGCCCATTACTAGAACTTTCTCTGTCTGTCTTCTTATCAACTGTATGCATATCGCTCCACCAGTATCCTAATAATCTTGTTTCTGTATGTAGATAGTAAATCTCTCTCTCTCTCTCTCTCTCTCTCTCTCTCTCTCTCTCTCTCTCTCTTTCTCTCTNTCTTTTGAGACAGAGTCTTATAGCCTTGGGTTATTTTAAGCTTTATAACCAAAGCTAGCATTGAACTTCTGATCCTTCTACCTCTATCCACCCAGTCCTGGTATTATAGGTGTATGCTACCACACCCAAGTATCAAACAAGATTCCCTCATATTTTTCTCAGAATGTTTTAAAATACTCAAATCCACATAGTGTATTAGTTTCTTTTCTCATCAATGTGACAAAATGCCTAATAAAAGCAACTTAAGGAAGGATTCGACTCATGGTTTGAGAACGGTTACGGTCATCATAGAAGGGAAGGCATGGTGGCAGCTAGCCATGTTGTGTTTGCAGGCAGGAAGCAAAGAATGACAGGTAGTAGGGCCAGTTCATAAATACTCAAGGCTCATCCCCAGGGACCTGCTTTCTCTAGCAGGGTCCCACAACCTTACAGAACCAGCACCACCAGCTGGGAACTGACGTGTAAGCTTGTTGGGGACAGTTCACATTCAGACCACAACACATCACCTTTCATTTGCATTTTGGAATAATCTGGAATTTTTTTTTATAGGAAATACATTAAACCTGCATTTCTGTTTTGGGAGAACTGACATCTTTTCTGTTTGTGATCTTCCAGTTAGTGAACATAGTCTGCATTCCCATTCACTTGCATCTATGCTGTCTTTAACTACCACTTACGTACTTCTCGTACACAAGCTTGGAAATGCTCTTCGACTTACAGCAAAGATTTTAAATTTATTTTTAGTGATTTTAAATAATTTTGTATATTTTCTTCTCTAGTTCTAGCCTTAGCCTGCATTTTACACCTCCAAATTACAGCCTCTGATATTATATTTTAGATTTTGTTTTTAAATCCACAGGTTTACTGCTAGTATTTAGAAATACAGTTAATTTTTTATAATATATTCTGTCAGTTCACCAAAATTGCAATGAGAGATGGCTTTTTTTTCTTGTCTGTAGTTTTCTTCCTCTTTGTAGTGTATTGCAATGGCTGCAACTTGTAATATTACATTGAATGACACATTTACCCTTGGTTTGTTCCCAATCTTAATATGAAGGCATTCAGTCCTTTGTTGCTAAATATAAAGTTGACTTTAGTATTTTATACATTTTTAAAAGCCAACATGACTTGTCATATGTGGTCGAACCTCCGTCAAGATGTTAACTTTTATGTAGGGGAACTCTAGGGGAAAGAATTCCTCCTGATCAGCAAAAGCAGCTGGAAGGTGCATCCATTTTGTCCAACTACAATGCCCTTCATCTTTGAGACTTCATGGTGTTATGGATGATGTCATTGTACACCACTCCCAAGAAGAAAAAGCAAGTTAAGTTGGCTGTCCTAAAATACCTTAATGTAGATGAAAGTGACATTAGTCTCTTTGTAAGAGTTCTCTTGATAAATGTGGCTGAAAATGATGTCAGTCCCTTTGTAAGAGTCCTCTAGATAAATGTGGTACTGGAGCTTTTCTTAACAATAATTTGATGTTATTTTACATTTAACAAGTAACTTATTTAAAGTAACAGAAGACATGTTTGTCAGTTTTGTTTCCATCAGAAGGTACAACTGCTGCCTTGGATGACTGAGCAATTTTTACAGCTGAAACAATGGATTGACTAACACTAGGGGTAAGAGTGAGGACATATATGTGGACTTTTAGTTCATCTTAACCAGCTTTACCAGCATGGTTCAGTGAAGGCAAAGATTAGAAGTAGAGTGGGTAAAAAAAGACTTAGGTATTTCAGAGGTCAGTTAGCGCACTATGAATGCGTATGTAGAATGGTATGGCTGACGAAAGAAGGAATGTCGTTTCCAGCTCAGTTGATGGCACTGCAGAGGATGGCAGAGCTTGTTTCCTCATGAGTCAGACCAGACCTGCTGTACCTCATCTCCTGGGGCCATCCCTGTTCAGAACAACAAACACCACCACAACAAAGCAGCACAGCTATAAATGTGGAGGCAGCTAAAGCGGTCTCAAAAGTTATGTCAGAGAATGAGAATGTACCAATACTAGCTCTTGAAGAGACCATTCTTACTTGGTTGAGTTGTCTTGGCTCCATTGTAAGAAGTAGTTGATGTAAATGTACAGTTACTGCCGAAGGGGTCTTGTGCCAGAAAGTGCATCGATGACCTGCTCCTTCAAAGGTTAAAAGCTCATTAGGGTGGAAGCAGGCTTGTTGATTGATGAACTTGCTCTTTATTTCCTTGTGGACTGGCAGCAGTCTGCTGAGCAGCCAGTGTCTGTGGGCTGACTGCACTTGGAGCACTACTATAGGACCTTGCTAAGGTACCTGCCCAGGGCTATCAGGTCAGAGTCTGCTTTACAGTGTGATTCCTCGGTGATCTGTTGTCTTATTAAAGTCTGAGGTGCAGTGCTACGGAGTAGGACCGTAGCTGACATTTTTAAGGGTCTATTCAAAGTACAAGACTGAGTAAAAACGTGTCCTAATTTGATTTTCTTTACTCTGCTAGAACACTGACCAAAAGCAGCTTGAGGGATAAAGGATTTATTTCATTTTACACTTTCAGATCACAGTACATAGAGAGGAAATCAGAGCAGGAACCTGGAGGTAGGAATTGAAGCAGAGACCATAGAGGACTGCTGCTTAATGGTTTGCCCCCAAGCTAACATTCAGCTAGCTTTCTTATGCAGCTTAGGCCTATCTGTCTAGGAGGGGTGCTGCCTTCTGTGGTCTCTGCCCACAGTTCAACCTGATGGAAGCAGTTCTTCAGTTGAGGTTTCTCTAGTTTGTGTTTCTCTAGTTTCAGTTGGGTAACTCTAGTTCATGTCAAGGTGACAGGAAAAAGTAAACAGCGTGGAAGGGCGGAATAAATGTTGGTGTAGGGCAGAGAAAGTATTTTGGACTTAGGTAGCAGAAGCTCAACAAGATCTCCACTAGAACCAAGGGCCAGCCCACAGTTTCTTTTACTGCTATCTAGAGATGTGCTTGTTTGCCCAGAGAGCTAGAAAAGAGACGTAGGGTTATGAAGAGGTGAAAGGAAGAATAAAACGACACCACACCAAGCACCCCTTTCCAAAGTAAAAACCTTACCCCAGCTATTAGAATGGCCTTCCTTCATCTTTAAGAAGCTCAGGCATGCGTGCTCACATGTACACGTCACATGTAGACATATACACATACACACATAATTTTAGGAAAGAAGTTTCTCTGCAGTTCTTCCTACTTTTTGGATTACATAAATAGAAATGAGTTCTAGAAAGGTCCATGATAAGACTGAAAAGTAGAGGGAAGGTTACAGTCTGAATGCCTGCTGTGTTACAAAGCTGGAGCTCTGGAGAGTGTTTTTGGCCTCTGTGATCTCTCTGGTCTGTGACCAGAGGCAGGTACACTGAGGCCTTTGCCTCATCAAGTTTTTTCTTGTCCTATTTTGAAGATTACTTTGTTTTATACCAAAAGCAAAGCCTTAGTTCTGAACCCACTTGAATTCCCCTATTCTTCATTCTTGTGTAGCAGCCACCTTTGCCCTGCCCCGCTTTGCAGGAAAATAAATCGCTCTGTGATCCACCTCCTAGCAGTAATCCTAACCCCTCCCTCCTTCTGACCTGTAGGATGGGCCTCCAGCACTCTGTGTCTCATGTGTCTTACAGCTTTCATTCTCCAGTGTGCTTTTTACAATTCTTGGTAATTCTTCTCTGAGGCAGCCCCTTCTTTAAACACAGATGTTCTGAGAGAGTAATTCACAGACAGTGCTCAACTCAATCTATTCTCATCCCATGCCGTCCCCTTCCCCAAATTCTCACATTGGTCTCCAGAAATTTTCTTTGGACACGTTCTTACCATTGTCTGTTTTTCGTGGGGTCTGCTGTTCTGTCTGTCGGCAGTGCTTTCAAATCCACTACTCAGAAAGTGGAGTGAGCATTACTATTGATGCTGAGGATTTAAGTTTTTAATGAATGCCTTGAGGGTTCCTCCTGTGCTAGCTTTGTCATTTTGAGTTTGGTGAAAGGTTTCTGGACCCCATACTAAGTCTCTCTGCCAATGCAATAAATCAGATTAAACCAAATTAAAAGTCCAGGTTTAATGAGAAAAGCAACTCCGGGTAGTCTTGGGAGGTGGAACAGGGGAAGAGACCACAAAGGGAAACCACTACAGGAAGTCTGTGGGCCAAACTTTAAATACTCTCTGGGGGTGGAACTGCTGTAAGGTATCTTTTGGCAGGGTCTGGAGAGGGCATCTTCAGGGGAGATCCCCAACAACTGGAGTCCACATGGACTTCATGGACTTTCCGATGGACTCTGAGAAGCCCAACCAGATCTGCAGGAGCAATTCCATTGTTCCACTGGACCACTCCAGAACCTAAGCTTGAGTCAAACACACAGACTCATAGAACCATGTGTTTTCTGTACCTTCTGCTAAGCCTTTAAAACAAAAGTGGAATAATATATTACAATTTATTTACAAATCCTAATTTTGCTTTGCACTTGTATAAAATCACAGTTTACTCATGTTTTCTTTCCCCCACCTTAGTTTTTTCTTTTTCTCTTCAAGACAGGGTTTTCCTGTGTAGCCCTGGCTACTCTGGAACACGCTCTGTAGATCAGGCTGGCCTTGAACTCACAGATTCACCCGCCTCTGCCTACAGAGTACTGGGATTAAAGTGTGAGTCACCACTGCTGGCCCAACTTAGTTTTAAATGACCTTGGGTTTCAGCATCATCCTCATAAATATCTGCAGCATGGACCAAGTGCTTTAGCATCATCTCCATAGATAAGTGCTCTGTAGCCCAAGGTATGAGGTGATTTCAAGTGCCTGGTGGTGCTCAGTAAGCACCTGTTGGAGGCACGAAACCCATAAGCAACAGCCCTGAGAACTGATAAGCAGTTCAGCTGATGCTGCATCTTCTCTCCCAGCTGGCCATCTGGAAAGCTTAATTATGAGCATATTGCTGGGTCTGGTCTAGATGCTATTGTAGTTTCTTCCAATCATGCAAGGCAGTTTTTCTTTTCATATATTTCCTGTTAAAAGTCAATTGGAGCATGTTCAGAAATGTACTTTCCTTTTTGAATTTGTGCAGGCTACCCAGCTGAAGCCCTCGTTATTCCTTTGTTCAGGGAAGAAACTGCTTTGGAAAGAACTCTGTTAAATGCCGCAGGTAGTAAATCTTTCTCCATCCTCAGTCCTCCTACACACACAAAAAAAGAGAAGAAAATAAAAAAAAAATTCAAGCCGAATTTACTTTTGTTCCTATAAACAGGAGAAAGACAGATTTCTTTTTTCCCCTGTATTAAAATTTTACGCATTTGAGTAGTTGTTGTGGTTTTCGTCCCTTGCAGTATTTCTGGATGGTATTGGAGTCCTTGCTTCTGGTTTAGGTGGAGCACTACTTCACAAGTGGATGTTCTAAGTGCCTCAGCTTTGGAGAGTGTTATGGTTCAGCAGGACAGTGGAATTGCTATTGGAGATCTGCCTGGCCTCTCAAAGACCACCGGAAACTTGTTCTTGACTGTCAATCTCCCCTTTCCACATTGTTAGTGTTGTCTCTATATATTTAAATTGTCTGTGCTAATGGAATCAGCTGGCTAATTCTGCCCCTGCTGTGTCTATAACTGACAATGTACTTCTCCATTCTTGTTCACAGAGGGACCTCTCAGGGCACAAGAACATTGTGGGCTACATTGATTCTAGTATCAACAATGTAAGCAGTGGCGACGTATGGGAAGTTCTCATTCTCATGGATTTCTGCAGAGGTGTGTGTTGACCCTACTGAAGCTCTTGTTTCTGACACTTTCATGGCCAAGGACATGGGGTCATTTCATTTACTGTCCATTGCACCCTGAAGATAATGCTCTGGTTTCACAGAAAAGCTATGTGGTCCATTGATGCACTTGGTTATTTTCATGACTACAAGGGTTATGGTACAAAGAATGAAAGCAATAGGTAATTCCAGACCCTGTCTCCATTAGGTGTAGTAAGGTTTGGTTGTATATATAAATGAGACCACATGAAAATGAGAAAGAATGGGTTCTTTATGAGGGTTTAACAAACAGTGAAGGCATATAATAGAAGGCGTATGGAGCTTGTAGAAATTGCAGCTTCTTTACCCCTTCTCCACTCACAGTACTGCGCTCCTGTGATCAACTGAAAGAATCCCATTTGTCTGTGAATAGGTGACTCTCCTATTGCTCTGGGGCTGTAATACCTGGTAAAACTACATTCAGATGCTGCTGCTTCCAACTTCAAATAGGTGGAAGCTTGGAATTTCATGCATTTGTCTTGAGAAATCCAGACTTTAGCACGAATGTGTTGAGTTGATGACATCCTATGCACCCGTTGTTTGGAAATTTGGCTCTTTTGGCCTGAGTAACTGATATTATAGGTTTGGATCATTGCCTTACTGTTTGATACCCTGTTTTGTAATTGTCTTTAGTGCTACTAATATTTTCTGACTTTAAAGATATTTCCCATAAATTTATTCTGATCCTGTAAATGTGACATTAACCATTAATTTTGGCATTTGTTGACTGATTTGTTGATCTGATTTTGTAAACTATCACCAAATTTGAAATTGACAATTTGTTCCCCCCCTTTTTTTTTTGCCTAGGACCTTTTATAGATGCCAGGCAGTAGGACTCAAGTCTGGATAATTTAGTTTAATATTGGTAACCAGTGTTTTGTTCCCAGAGAAACAAAATTCCCCAAGAGTTAAAGACTTCAAAGTGGAAACAGACCCATCTTTTTCCTGCTCTCTGGGTCTGTTGTGCTGTCTTATTTTTTCCTGAAAGACATGACAGAGGCTGTGGCCTCGTCTCCTACACCATGGAGATATGACTACCAGGCAGCAATAACTGACTGTCAGTTAGGCTTCTAATCTTGAGGATACAATGAGGGCTGCTCACAACTGTGTACTTAATGAAATAATCTGGTTTTGAGGCATCAGAGGAGACATTGGGTTGTAAGAAAACAAATCTCAAGCAGAGACTTGAGACCCCTTGGGTTTAGTGCTGGCTTGGCCCATAGTCCACTTCTGTCTGGACATCTGCCAGTGTCTTGGTCCAAGTGATGAGTCTGCCTGCTAATACCCTTTCCCTTGCTCTGTGCCTGTCTTAGGAGGACAGGTGGTAAACCTGATGAATCAGCGTCTACAAACAGGCTTTACAGAGAATGAAGTCCTGCAGATATTCTGTGACACCTGTGAGGCTGTTGCCCGCCTACATCAGTGCAAAACTCCTATTATCCACCGGGACCTGAAGGTAACAGACTGACTTCTTGAGGAGTGGGTTTTTACTGAATATGTTTTTGTTTCTGTCTGTCCCAGGGATGGAGAATGTATTGAGGGGGAGGAAAGACATATTGAGGGGTATGTAAGACATAATTTCTAATTCTGGCCTCACATTGAAGTTAGGGAGAGAAAATACAAAGAAAAAGGACAATACAGGTACCAACTTTGCTAACTAACCTCCAGAATTTTTGAAATTTCTAATGCCCGAACTCATGTTTTTGGTTTTATTTAGGCATAATGTGTTAATTTAAGTAGCTTATAAATAATAAGGCTTACTTTTATTGCATGCATACACACACATACACAGATACACAGAGTTATTGTTATTATTACTAAGGATTAAACTCAGGGCCATAAACATGCTAGACAAGTGCTATATCACTGAATTATGTTCCCAGCCCTCTTTCATAGTTTGAAAAATCCATTAATTATTTTTAATAATCGGTCCTGATTACTATCACATTGCCCTATGTCTTTCATAGTGAAGTCACATGATAGCTTTTTCACAATGGAATTGGCTTCTGATTAGGTTTTAGCTTAGCATTTTTTGAGCCCTAACTGTGTGCTAAATATTCTACTGAACTTGATGCATGCTGTTTTCTTAGACCTTTTCCATTACATTTTACAGGTAAGGAAACTAAGTAGCAGAGAGGACTGTGTGTCTTGCTCAAATTCTTATAAATAGGAAACAGTAGTGTCAGAATTTAAATCCAGCTCTTTGTGTGAGATTTCCCTGCCTCTATACCACCATGTGATGATGGCAACAGAACTGTAAGAACATAGGAAAATTGCTTGATATTGCCAAATGCAAGGATACTTTTTAGTATTTGTCTTAGTCTGCCTCTATCTGCAGCATTTAACGCCTTCAGTGCCCTCTCTTCCCTGGACCCCTGAGGTATCATGTGCTCTCTAGCCCTTGCTCAAGCTCCTTAGCTTGTTCCTCAGATCATTTGGCCTCTCTGAGCTGTGGTTCTGTCTTCTCTAAAATGTAGATAGCAGTGCCTATGTTGCACTGTGTGAGCCTGGGCTAGCCTGGGTGGGGTCACTTATTCACTGGCAGAACTGAGGAAAGTCCTGTTGCCCTGCCTAGAGCAAGTGTGGCATCTCTTTCCATTTCCATACAGATATAAACTCAAAGTGTTCCTAGTCCTTAGGCTGTTTATGTCCTGAAAATAATCACAATGGAAGTACTGTGCTATGGAAGAGTTCTCTTCAGATGTTATTGTAATGCTTCAATTACTTCCTCTCAGTTGTAATTTTCATTTCTTTGGAAAAAGATAAGGGTAATCATTGCAAACCATGGGGTCAAATCTGGGAAGATCATCTATTGCAGCCTTACTGTTTGCCAGTGCAGAATCCTTACAAGAGAAACCGTGACTGCTGCCCACCCCCCAAGCTAATTAAGTTATCAGATCAGAATAGAGATAGAGGTGGGTTTTTTTAATTTTTTTAAAATTTGTTTTGTTGTGTTAATTTGTGCTAGTTGTCTGTGCACTCAAGAAAGTTCAAGAAAGAGTTCAGGATGAACAAATATATTAAGATTGAAAACCCATAGCTGTCTTTTTTTTTTTTTTTTGCCACAAAATAGACTGTGTTTAAAAACACAGGTTTGAAGATGTTTTATTCTAACCCTCCACATTTCTCAGAGGCATTAAATTCTCTGAAATGCCTCAGTGCCAAGCTGTTTGGAGTAATAGTGAGGCGAAGAGAGGTCAGTGAGAGGTAACTTTCTAGGCCCCTTAGCAAAGGCTCTGCGCCGAATTGAGGAGTGACAGTTTTAGTAAGGCTGTTAGGTTGGGAACTCTCAAAAACCTGAAGTGTTGAACAGCAGTGGTGTTATGGTTTGGATGTGAAGTGTCACCCACGGGCTTGTGTTCTGAATGCCTTTTCCCCAGCTGGTAGGGCCTTTAGGAGGTCGGGCTTGGATGTAAGAAGTGGATCCCTAGGGGTGGGCCTTTTAGCAGGTATAGCCTGCGCCTGGTTTTAAGCTCTCTGTGTCCTGGTTAGTCCACCGTGATGTGATGTGTGCTACCATGCCTTCCCTCTGGATGAATGAAAGTAGTGAACCCAAATAAATCTTTTCTCCCTTCAGATACAAAGGTGACCAATATAAATGGCAACCAGTCACAGGCTTGAGTCCTAGGGGCTTTGTCCAAGCAAGTAGCTGTTCTCTCTGCCAGTGCTCAGAGTGTGTGAATGCTAGTCAGTTCTCTCCCTCCCTAATCTCTTTTGGCTTGTTACCTTCCCCTACTCCTTCCCATTGCCATTTGCCCTTGCTCGGACCTATTCCTCTTTCCATGTCCTGCCCTCATAGTCTGCTTTCTTTTATTCTTTCTCTCTGCAAAGCTGCCTATCCTAAAATGGTTGTATTCTTGAGCTCCTAAAGTTAAAAAATCCCAAAAGCCTACTAAGTAGCCTTCCCCAGTCTCTTTGTCTGTACTCTGCTCCCTTCCTTCTCTCTTACCAGCCTGAAGTGTCCATGC